CTTCAGACAGAACAATTGGTGCAATTTTATAGCTTTTTGTATTTTTCCCTGTCTACCCATTTCTTCACTCATTATTAGTGCACCAGTATCAGGACAACATTGGACGCTCTGGTAAAAGAATGAAATTAAAAAAGATGTAAATTGCATTAGGAATAACATAATATATTCTTAATGAAAGTCTTTCTGCCAATAAGCGCAATCTTTCAGTGAAGAGCAGGTCTTGACAGGGGTTGCCTGTTTTATTTTTTTCTCTTCTCAAACTGCAGGATAAGTTCTTTACGTGTTTTCAAAGAGTTTTTACCTTTAATATAGCACACAATAGTCTAATATCTGAACTGAATGTGATGCGCAGGAAAAAACTGTGGTTTTCCTTAAAGCTATACCAAGGAATTTTACTGGACCAATGAATTTTGCTGAATTTTTGGACCAATTTAAGTTAGTCCAAAGAAGTTCCTTTTCTTCCACAATTTCAGATTGTGAATATACAGGAATATTGCCCGTTTACATCCTTGTGTTGGTTTCTGCAGAATCAAATGCTCTTAGCTCACAGTGCACTTTTAGCTGAGAACCATCACATGTGATATTGTGGGAGTATTTACTGTATTATGTTCCATGAGCTTTCAGATCATTCTTAGTGAACTTATGATAATTGGTGCTTTTTATGAAACTTATTAAAGTAATTTTTACTCTCTGTACTAACAGTTATCTTTTTGTTCAGTTTCACATACATTCTTTCTGTGAACTGAAATAGTTTATTAATTGATCAAAAAACCTTTATATTCTTGAGCTTGTAAAAGTCCCTTGTGAAGGGACTGAGGATGTTTCAGCTTTGGGGTCACAGGAGAGATGGAGGAGGGCTTGGAGGTTGTTTTTAGAGCAAGAGGAGAGGGGGGTGCCTGAACAATCCAAAGCAAAGGCGTTGTTAGATTTGTTAAACTGTGGCTTTAGTTTGACTCCAAGAAGTCAAAACCTAAAAAATATCTGACAGAAAGGGCTTTGCTTTCCTGCTGGAGTTCATCAGTGTTTACAGCATGGCTTTCAGCACTGTTTTGGGGTGTTCTTTAGCATTCACACCTCTCAAGACATGTCACAACACTTTCTTGAAAGCTATCTCTTTCCACACAAGTTCAGTATCTGTCCATTTTTGTTGTAGAAAAATCAAAATATAAACTTACCCTTCCTTATTACGTAAGCATTCATATATGAAAAATTTTGTGCTAAATTAAGGCTTTCTAAATTGCATGTCCAGGAAATTGTCAGCTGGGACAGGAGCTGACTGTTCTAACATACCTTCCTATGGAAAAGGGACTGTTGCTCTCCGGTGTTATCCATCCCAGCACTTTTTATTTAGGTTAATTTAAAACTTCGTATATAATATGCATTCTCTTTTTTTTTTTACCCCCAGGAGTCTATTTACTGATTTGCCATTAGTAAGAAAGTGGTCCTGAATTTCAACCAAAAATAATAGTAGTAGTCCTTGAGCGCAGTTTCCATAAAGGTATTGAAAAAATACCCTCAGAAAAAACCTAACAGCAATCAGAAAAGTTGAATGCCAGCTGAGCCAAAAGATCTTTTAGTTATTAATGAATAGTTGCCAGTTTGGGGCATTAAGCAATTTGTTAGCTTACAGTAGAACCCCTCACAATTGGTTTAATTTATCTTGCTGGCAAGCATCCAGTTCAAGGGGGGCAACGGTATGTGCTCCAAAATGAGCAGACAGTCTCCATATGGAACATTATTACTTATAAGGATGATTTTTGTATCATTTAGATCACTAACGATGGCTTCCAGTACAGTAATTCCAGAGTGCTGACCCTGTACGACGCGGTCTGCCAGGCCTGCCAATTCCATCCAACTGGACTTTGTAAATTAAAGGTAATTTAAAGTTCATAAAGGTTTAATATGAATCGTTCATCTCTTCTTTACGCTCTCCCTCCCTTTGATGTACTGTGTATAATAAGCGCTGTAGAAGAGGAAAATCTATTTCATAGGTCAGCTGCACAACCTAACGCTTTTCTTTTCTCTCCTCTCTTTCACAATCTCCTGCCAGTGATTTTTTTTTGGTCATATTTACGTGGGGTATGAATACCTGATCCAGCACGCTTTATGATGGACCTTTCTCAGACAAACACTTCCAGAAAGACCCTGGTTGACAATATTTACACTTTGCAGCTGTTAATAGAAGGAAATAAGACTGACGATACTCACCTGAAAGGCAGCTTAACTTCACTTTTGAAGTGTCTCTGCTATTTTACCTTTCCTAGCCTGTTTGGCAAGAGCAGTGTAACTGTAAGGTATATCATTTCTATACCCGCTTTCTGCCTTAGCAAGAGGTATACTAAGACGCAGGTTACACAGTTTTTGTCATGTGGAAACACCCTGAAGAGAACATAAAACATTCTTGATTACATTAAACGCTGCTAAGGACAAACATATAGTACTTTGGCAGTTTCAAAACCATAATCAAATGTCTAGTGCTACGTTTTAAACGGCCAACATGCTAGGAACTGCCTGGAGAGCACTATAATCCTCTGTTTTCCTGTGGACTTACTAGTATAACATCATCCATCTCTTTAAAAAGAGCTTCCCTGCTTTTATTTTCTAGAGAGCTGCATCAGACCACTTTTCTGTTTTACAGTGGGGCTTCCAAAGAAAATTTTGGAGGGTATTGGGTGGGATATTTGAATGTGCTGATCCTGCTTTCATATCCTGAAGCAAGTATGAATGAATAGAAGACCCTCAGTCTGCATTTTTTATGAAATGAAGATTAATCAGGTATATCTTAACCCATTTGCCTCACTGTTCTCATTAACACTAATGGGAAAATACAGTTTTCAATCTTGCACTGATTGCAAGAACATACCGGTTACCAAAATAAAATGAAAGTTCACATTTTTTCAAATAAATCAGTGAATAGAAATTACTTTATAGGCCCAAATGAGCGCAAAACCACTTAAATTTCAGCTTCAAATAATTGTGTCAACTATTCCAATTAAAACTAGTGTGATTTTTCTTTTTTTTTTGTTAAAGGCTTTCCTTATCCTTACATTTTTGAAACTCAGAAATATATATATGTTTTCTCAGTATGCTAGGGTTCTCTAGAGATTATAATAATTTCTATCCTAAAATGCTTCAAGGGACTGTTGGAACTAGGCTTCCAATTGCATCAGACCACATTCTAATTACCCCTCTTATAACATTTCTTTGTAATACCTAAATTGCTTTCAGAAAAGGTGTTTCAATTAGGGGACATTTTATATCAGGCCATTTCACATTCTGTGTTTTTCTTTCATGGAGCCCATTCTGCACCACACTATCACATCAGGAAAAACACCTCTTTTTCATCAGAACATCAAGCTTTCGAAAACAACAATGTAATAAAATCTAATTAACATCCAGATTTTAATGTTGAAGATCCATCATGTTCTATCATGTCGGGGCAATTATGAGAGTCCCTTTTGTTTCTCTACCTTACCCCTTAATCTTAAAGCGGTATTAGTTAAAATATTGGCTAATATTTGCAAAAGGACTTTGAGAAACTAATAAAGCGGTATACAGAAACCACAAGGGCAGCATTGCTTTCGGAAAATCAATGTGTATTCAAAGGGAGGAAAAGGAAAAACGTCATTGTTCCTGGTAGCTTCTCCCACCTGCTGTCCCACTGTCGTGGTGACGTCCCCTGTGTTCCCAACAGCGCCCCATGTTTTGCTGGGAATCTGCAATGTCAGATAAAGTCGCATCTGCAGGTGTGCCCCAACACAGGCTAGAAGCAAATGGCATAACTCTGCCATAGGACCTTCCCGTGGTGCAGATGTTTGCGTCTGTTAATTATGTCCCCCTGTTTGCTTACCAGACAACCCAAGTGTCTTCGGCCCACATGGAAGCCACATGGCATCCCTGGTCCTGGTGGCCACACTAACTGGGAGAGGACCAGGTCGACCCCAAAGGCTGCTGCGCTCGCAGTGCAGCGCGTGATCTTCTGCTGGGATGTTCTGCCGGACCTAAGGCAGATCATGTGTTTAGCTGTTGTTTGCAAGTGTCTCATGGAAACCTCAAACCTGATGCACTTCTTTATTCTGCTTTTGTATCATCGCTTTTCATATTTTTCTGAAGAACCTTTGGATATTATTAAGTTACCAGAGGGAGATTTCAAAATTTCAAATGGAGCTTTTATCCAGTCTCAGTTTCTGTTAGTCTCATGGAGCTCACTTTTGAGTGTTACTTAATAACCATCATATTCATAGTCACAGCTGGGAATAATGGTCACATACACAGCATAAGTGTGGAAATGAAAATTGCATTCATCTATGACAAACAACTTCACATGTTGCCTGAGCTAATGCGTTCAAAGCTACAAGGATCTTGAACTGAAATGGGAAAACTTACCTGTCTTGTTTTCTTCCTGTCAGGAAAAAGTACCAGCATTTAATTTGTTACTATTTTGTTATTTCAAGAGACAAGCGAGTTTCTGCTTATATGCAGAAATTATTAACTGCTAATTTCTTATCTTCTTATTTCTTTTTTCCATGTCTCCACTTCCCACCCATTTTTATTTCCTTTTTTAACAGGAAAATACTTGTAATATAGATGGACTTTGCTATGGTGAAGGAGAGTCAAGCCCTACCAGTCCTTGCCTTCTCTGTGAACCTGACATTTCTAAATTCACCTGGTCTATTAATGAAAGTAAGAGAGTTTTTTCACACTTATCTGGGACTTTATGACTTGGTCTATGAAATATATTGTTTCATCATCTGGCTGACATGAATTCATCCTGCGTAGTGTGCACAGACAGTTTATGGTGGGAATAATTGGGTGCACCAGAAATGCAGACTGGCCAGAAGCAGATAGTACTCCGCTGCATGCAGTATGCATCTGGGCACACAACTTGTTTTGTCTGAAACCTGACAAATCTCAAACTAATAAAACCAAAATAACACCTGAAAATGAAATTTTGATATGCCAGTGCCCCCTGAAGTGCCCAAGTCTGTCAGCTAAACGTCATGGACCCTAAATACCTCTGTCATCATCTCACAGGTACGAATCTTTAAGGGAACAATTTGGGCAAAACACTGTTTTTAAAACACTAGTGTATATTTTTTGCTTTCTGGAAGAACTGTTTCCTTTCCCTGAGCCAAATCCTGTGAAATGCCACACAAAAAGCCTTGGCTCGGTAGGGAGTCTAAGTGATAGGGATCAGCCACTCGTTACCTTCGCTGCCACAAAACCTAATGACTCATTCTGCAGCACAGCCCATCGTGGCAGAAGGCTGCCTTTTGAAGTCCTGAATGCTGAGGACTTAATCATAGCTTTTTTCACGGCTACATCCCCAGTGTAAACAACAACTGTTACTTACTGCATGCTCTACAGACAATCCATGTTGCTAGCAGCATTATCCTCACAGCGAATCTCCCTACTTACATGAGCACTTTTGCATCTGGTCAATATAATGATTATATTACTGCTTTTATCTATATTCATGTGTTGGTTCTAGAAGGAGTTTCTCTGCACTTTTAGGTTCTGTAAACAGAAGCAAATTTCAGAAAGGTATGTGAGTGACAGGACCAGTTTGCTTTGCTTGTTTGCAGTTGCATATTCCTTTATGGTGACTAGGTCAGCAGGACCCTTCTGGAAGGAGAGGAAGATTGCTCTTGTCCTTGGGGAACAGCTGGTGATGCTCAGGGACAGAAGCTCCTAGAGAGTGCAAGGTATGGCAGCAGAAATGGCGAGAGCTGTATCACAGCGGCTGGAGTCCATAGCTCCAGTGGAGGTGCTGCCAAGGAGAGCAGTGAGCAGACACACTCTTCTCAGAGGTGGCAGAAAGGCCCTTGAGCAGGACCAGAAAGGACTCAACAGTTCCAAGCCCCACAAGAAGTCATCAGTTGTCTGAAATTTTAGAAGAAAGAACACAACAGGAAGGGACAGAGTTGTTTTCGAGTCCTTTTAATTCCTGTTCCAGGATTGCCACTTTAAATGTTCTCTATTTAAAAACACATGCCTTTAGGTTAAGTCCTAAAAAATCCAGCTTTTGGAATTTAAAACTCCCTGTCAGGAAAAGGCATAGGCAGATCCATCCCAAGTGTTGGCCAACTAAAAATCCCATTGGTTGTTACTTCAATAAGTAGTTAAACTGCCTATGGGTAAGCCAGACTGGAAGAAGAGCTTGCACACCTGAAAGCTGGTTTTCCCCCAGGGATATAATTTAGTGTAATGAATGGTATTATCTCACAAACCTTGCCTCCTTTCTGTCCTTCCATTGTGTTGGCCACCGCAGTAGCATCTCTAGGGATGAGGTGATCCTGATTGTTAAATAGACTCATTACTAGTACTGAGATGGTTCGATTTTAAAATTCAGAAACTGGCTTAAAAGGGAAAAACTGCTTTTGTTTTGGAATTTATAAAGCTAGAAGTGATTTGGGAAATCTGAAACAGATCACGGTTCACTTTTCAATAATTTCAAATTTTAAAAATATTGAAAAGAAAGCATTTGTCAGATTTGTTTTCAAAATTGCAAAAACCTTTTCAAAAGTTCTGCAATAATTGGGAGCGTATATATGTATTCACTGGACGGCAAGGAGATCTCTGTGGAATTAGAAACACTTATTCACAGACTACTTTCAGCACATTTGATTTTATGTTATTTTGTGCCTACAAGTTCTCATTACCCTCCATCCAGTTAACACCTTTGTGTTTATCTGTAAATGCATACCCAGCATCAATATTTCATTGATTACCTTGGGCACAACTTTTATGGGCTCTATGGTTTAAGTGTTTGGGAAATAAAAGGTAAGTTAATAGATGGAAGCTTTCAACAGTTATGCCAGGGCAATCTGCTGGACAAGCAGTTTAGAAAGCTCTGATAGCACAGCAGCAATGAGCGGAGAGACACATTTAAATAACTGTGTAATAGGAGACATACAATGGAAAGCAAAGCTTGATAAAAGGATGTGCACCACAAAACCCCCCTAATGATGACTTACCACAAGCATAATGCAAGGACACATGCTGTCCTTATGAGAACACGTATATAGTTCATAGTTGTAGAACGTGACTTGAAATTAATCCTCAGTATTGGAAATGTACTTTAAGTTAAACATAACTATGGTCAAATTACGTTGTGAGAAGGTTCCTTTAAATATCAATACACGTCAATTTGTATGGCTGGTTAAAGAAGAAAGATGGCATGAGACTGAGGAGGTTTAGGACATGGAGACAAAATTCCTGTCCCTGCACAGAGCTGCTGTCACCTCAGGCTACTCATCTGACCTTACTTTCCTTGGTTTCTAGTTATGAAATACAATATTTTTCTCTGTCTTGTCCTCCTTACTTATTTATATTCTAAGTATCTTCAGGCAGCCTTTGTCTCCTACTCTAAAATAGCTTTGCACAACCAACTTTCACCTTCATTAAGGAAATACTGAATGTAAACAACACTAGAAACAGCAATGCCAGTGGTGGCATGATACACACTGCTGTCACTGTGGACAGAGAATCTCAGCATCATTGATGTACCTGTGCTGGCACTGAGAAGATGTTTATTCCTGATGAAATGTCCGACTGAATTCAGTCAAACTGCTCAGGCTTAATTATTACTCGTGTAAAGGCAGGAAAGTCTACTCAACGCAAGTCTTACACAAATATTTTTTTCCCCCTGAGCTGCCCGCCCAATTCGTTTGTCATTGGTCATTTTGAGATTTGGTTTTCCTATATTTAAATAGATAGAGTGGTAGATAGCATAAATATAGATATGTAAGTATTACAAATATAATTAATTAAAGTTTTAGTAAGAATTGGGGGACTAGTGGGAAGTTCTAGAAGTCATGTCTGATCTCCTGCCACGGATCAGATAATATAATGTAATTGCACATTACATCAAATGTAATCGAAGTTCGGTCTGGGAGAAAAGTTCAGAATGGGGCATGAAAAAAATAAGAGGAAAAAGGCGTGCTGTTTGGTAAAGCCGTTTGCTGCCTTTAACATCTCAATTGTTTCCTCCGACAGTCTCAGGGTACATTCTGTACCTTTTTCTTTGAGAGCACTCCTACGAAGACCCGTGCTGTGAATCTTTACATGGGAGAAACTGGAATTTATGTAATTATGGTTTCATTTTTGCTGTTTAGACAACCTGCCTCCTGTGTTCCAGGCCCCCTCCAGCCAGCTGCTGACATTTAGTGGGGAGAATTTTGTTTACCAGTTAATAGCAGCGGATCCGGAAGGGTCAGCTGTGCTATTCATCTTAGAAGCTGGGCCACAGGATGCCAGGCTCTCTCCTGCTGGCCTTCTTATCTGGAAAGTTGACTCAGAAGAAATGCAGACCTTTGAATTCACTGTGTCGGATGAATGTAATGCACAGAGCAGATACTCTGTTGAGGTAAGGACATGAACACTTTAAAGGAAAAACAAAACAAACCTGTTTGTCATGTCACTGTTTTGGTGCAATTGTCATTATAGCTAATAATTTGTTACTGTCTCAAAAACTAAGATTTCAGCTATTTCCTCATAAGTGTATATTATCCAGCACAGTAATAATGATCAATTAATGGAATAAATATCCCTGAGAATGTAGAAACTACATATACGAGGAACAAGAGAGAGTGCTATTGATTGCTGTTTGAAAGAACACTCTTGCAAAACCTTTTAATGGTTCATTAATCTGCTTTAAAATTCACATCCTGCATTTGGATTGCAGAAAAAAGCATATAACATAAAAGACCAAGTTTTAGCTATAAAAGGGAGATTATAACTCATTCTCAATGATATTTTTAGAGGATGTCTTGCTCTTATGTCATTACTCCATACTTGAAGTTTCTTGGCAGAGCTTGTGCATTGCTTTGTCTTTACTGTATAGCCTGATATTAATCCTGTGATAGGATGAGCTAATAAACTGGGATGCAGACTCTTGACATAAGAACAGTTTTGTGAAGAAAAGATTTTTATTCCTAAAGATTCCTATTTTTACTGATTCAAACCAGTATCATGAAAAATACCAATTTGCTGAACCCACACAGCAGAGGGGAAACTGGAGTCTAGGTATGGTTTTAATGGAAACATTTCAAACTATTCCTATGTTTAACTAGGTGAGATAACACAGAGGTTTGAGTCTGTTGAAATGCTGTTCTTGTACATACATAAAATACAACTATGGACCTTCCTTCCCTGAAGAGAGAGACCAGCTAAGGAATGCCACAGTCATGTTCCTGTCTGGGAGCCATTTGTAATGAGAAACAGTACAGACAACAGGCAGGCAAAGAGAAAAGATTTTTCATTTCTTCTTTGAAGAATAAGGAGCAAATTCTGCCCTCAGAATCTATGTAAAAACTGCTGTTATAGAAAATAGGAATTTTTTTCTTATAAGAAGTTATAATATGCCCCTAAATAATGAAAAAACCCCACCATTAAAGTCAAGCTTTCAGTCAAATATATAAGTATGCTGAGACCAACTATCTAGACAAAGGAAATTGGTTAGAAATAAGTTTTCATAGTACTAGATAACATGTTTGAACTGCAAATCTGTCCCTTCTTGCAGGGTAACAATAAACCTCTCAGCTGTGATTATTCAGAGGAATCTTACCACAACTGCCTTTTGCTTTCCTCAGGTTGGAGTGAAGCCCTGCAGCTGCCTCAATGGTGGAACATGTGTTACAAATATTAAATTCCCTCCAGGCCTTGGTGAATACCTGTGCTTATGTCCAAATGGATTTGATGGAGAACTTTGCCAGGAAGATACTAATGACTGCAAATCAAACCCCTGCGGCAGCGGAACATGCGTGGACAGCGTGGATAGCTACATTTGTGAATGTCCCCCTGGTTTGGGAGGTAACAACTCACTGTTTCCATCCCTGATCTAACTAGAGATATATTGTGCTACAGAATTTTTTGAGTGCAGCGTGATCACAAGCATCTGTCAAATGGACTACATAAGCCTCTTCTTCTGCTCCCATGACTTAGCTTCAGACTGACACAAAATGTGCAAAACCAACTATCTATTTACTCATGCTCAAGGAAGGAAAAATGACCTAAAGCTCTGTGGTCCCGAAATGATCACTCAAGGAGGTTGTGAACCTCCCTGATCTCAATTTCCACCTGCTTATTTCCCATGGATTTGTCCATCTATAAAGTGAGCTAAGAGAAGACTGAGTAGAAGAGAGAAAAGGCAAAGATGCAGGACCCTTTTGCCCTCCACAGGATTTGACTAAATTAAGCCAACAAAAGAACTGGTAATGAATGATTTTTCTAGGTCTAGGAAGAAGAAGTAGGTATGGAAAACATGGAAATACAAATTGTCCTTTAGTCCCACTTGAAGCTTCACTAAATTTAAGCATTAGAAAACCACAAGCCCTTTCGGTGGTCAGACATGCATCTAAACTTTTAAACTGTTCAGGGCCAGAAACAATATGATTTTAAGAGGTGAAGGGAAGAGGGATGATCACTGGACCAAAAAAAGATTATTTTAGAAGAGCAGAATGAAAATCACAAAGAGTTGGAGAACAAAATGCAATGTGGTCAAAGAGGTGGATGCAAAACATACAGCGCGAACAGGAATGAAGTAAAGACCTGAAGGGTGGGGAGAAAGTGAAGCAACTAATAGATAACGTAGATAAGGAGAGAACATGCGTGTACCTATCATGCAATTTACAGTCATCTTCACTGCACTCAGGACGTCAGTGAATTGTTCACACACGTGAAAAAAGCACTTGTGACAGCACGCGTGGCAATGATTCCTCTGTGCTTTGCAGACTGGAACCGGCAAAGCCAGCCATTAGACTCTCTGCTGCATTAAGCTTCTGGAGTGTGGCTGAGCTGAGTCGCTGTTGGGTCTTGCAGAGTGCCTACCACCTACCCCAGGCTGGGACCCATGCTCCAGCTGCTCGTAACACTGCTCACGTCCAACACAATGGATTTTCACATTGGCCTGAACACACCTCCTGGAGTTTCACGGAAGTTGTTGTCATTTCACTTCCAGTTTAGTTCTTCAGGAGGTACGAGGCAAATCTGGACATACAGGACTTGAACAGGGTTTCTAAACCTGGCTCTTGCTTAGCTTTGCAAAGGGCCAGTTAAAATAACACCAACTCACCCAAGTCGCTGTGCAGTCATTGGAAAGTAAAGACATTGTTACTGTCTCTTCTTATCCAATTAGTCTCCTGTAAGTGAAAGGTGCTAACTGAACCTGTGTTAGAACAGCAGAACCATTTCAAAAGCAGACTTAAGGAGAAAATACCCTAAGCTGAGCTCAGATTTCAGTCCTTGAACCCGTCAAAAACCCTACGCAGTTCACATTCAGAAGCATGAATGAATTCATGACACCCATAATGCTGGCTGATGTGCAGTGCTACAGGTTTGAAAAATCAAGTATGAGTAACAGCAAATGCACATAATTATTACTGCTTATAGTGTCTATATATAGAAGAAACTCTTAAAAGAAACTTCCTTAAATGAAACAAAAGGAATGAGCAGGTTTTACCTGACGGGCTCATGCAGGCAGCAAGGCACCCTTTCTGCCTTTCGGCAATTCATGAAGCCTTCTTTGTTTTGGTCACGTGGGACTGCACGTTCAGATTTCAGTAACTATGGAATTCCAGCAGAAATGAAAAATTAAAATCATTCAGAAGTGGAAGTTCAGAAAAATGGCCTAAAACATCTATGACATCTAGACGGTATTGACTCCAGGTAACGCTACCAAATAGCCAAAGCCTGCTGCTCCCCAAAGTGTTTGTACCACCAGAGACTCTACTGATGCAGACACAGTCAAGCCTAAGCATGGAGAATCAAGTTAGAAAATGAAAGTTTCATCAAAGTACAAAAATCCCCAAACCGAACAAACATATGCAGAATGTCTTGAATCCCCCTGGAAATAACATTCCTACGAGCACAGGGAAAATTTGGAACCTTTTAGGCTGTATTTGGTTAAACACTGGAGATATACAATATGAAAACTTATTCATTGCCTGTAAGGCAGGTGGATTAAATTAATGAAAAGCAGTATAATTCCATGAGTTAATAATTTCGGTGGATCTGTTACTGTTGTTTGGTCTTCACCAGTTTCACACTGCTGCCCTTCTCACTCTATGCTGTGTTGCACATAGATGGAGTGAAATCAAGCTCTATTATTCCACATAAAGTAGTCTGCCCTAATTACAGTGCATTGTTTATAAATTCACATGGAGCAGATTCTGAAATGTGGTTCTCATTCTTATACAAACGGTAAAGAATCAAATATACAACACTTCAAAATAACATGCTTGAAAGCAACATACAGCTGACCAGAGACAAGGGCACAGGACACATTGATGGCCAGAGAAACACTAGGTTTTCCTGAACCCTTAATTCTTGCCAGGTTAAATAAAAATGCACCTGGTTTGCTGTTCTTCCCTGGCCCAAAATGTGAAAACACAAGCAACAACAGAAAAAAAGATATAATTGAGTGATATAGGAATACTTCTCAAAGTTTTAATAGCAGGTGAAAAATTAGAAGCAAGCAGTGCTGAAAGCCAGCTGGGAAGTAGGTGCTTTTACTTCAGGGCAAGTTCTGTGACAATAAAAGCTCATCCTTGATGCGGTGTTTATGTCTCAACTCCCCAGAAAACCATCAATAATATAATGAGAAGGCAATGCTATACTGCTCAAGTGACAACACCACTTTCCCGTCAAATCTTTACAAATGATAGTGAACAGGCAGTAGAAACAAAAAGTTAACTCTTTTGAGAGCTTCCCAAACACCACTGCAAGAGGAGCAGCAGCAGCACAGGGAACAGAGTGTGCTGCTAAGCAGTAGCAATTCAGGTGCATCGGTGTGTCAGGCAATGTCAGGGTATAATGTAGGACCAGTGACAAGGCAGGGGGAGATGCCATCGGAAAGTCTGAGAGAAGGATGACACCAGAATTGTTACTACTTTAAATGCCCGCAGTGACTTATACACGTTTATCTCATCAAGTGTTCAAAGCTCATTCATTTTTCTTTGACATTGGGAACGAGATAACAAGAATTCCTGTTGTTCCTTCTTTTGACCACTGCAAGCAAGAACATCACCCACCTGAGAACGGGACTCATCCTTGAAAACTCTGTCTCAATCACAAACCCATTCTTTCTTTCCCCATATACCAGTGAGTAATATAAAACTGGGGGGCAGGGAGGAAGATGGAACTATAATTTCATTTTACTTTTCAGGAAACAAGAAAACACGAGGATTTGTTCACTGTTTGTAGAGCTCCTAAATGAGATTGCCTGTTCCTTTAGAGTCAACTTAATGTGAACACAGTCAAAAGGCCTTTCTTTGCCTTTATAGGTGGTCAGCTCCTCTGGAGGCATAAAAAGATTTTATCTTCTCAGCCAATTTCCCATGCAGGGATGGAGAAATAGAGCTGGCACAGCAACAGATGTTTCAACCTTGCAACCTGTAGAACTTTTATTCCTATTATTTTTATTTCTACTGTAGCAGTGTCAAGAGAATTGAGACTCCCTTGTGTTGCAGTGCACTGGAGGTCGTGCAAACAGAATAATTGACACTTCTCAGTCCAGAGAGTTTTCTGCCCATTTCTGCTGCTTCTTCAGCATCCTTCAGCCAAGTTTCAGACTTTGCAAACTTTTGTCCTTGGACTCAGACAGATTATCATTATGTCCAAATTGATCAGATGCTGTTTAAAATCAAATCTTCTTGAGCGAAAAGAAGTGTTTGCATAGTTCCACCTTTACGCTACAAAAAGTGACTGAATTTTAAAATGCAACTTGTTAGTTATGGTGCTCCTTTGCTTTCTGTAATTCTCTCGCCTTTGAGATTTTAAGGCCAGCCCCTTGCAGCAAAAATAGAGTATGTAGGAGGGAGGAGAGAGGACTGAGGGAGAAGTGGTTGTTGTTACTTCACTCCTGCTTTCATTGTCTGTAGTGCCATGTTTAGTTTTTATACTTTGGTACTCAGAGAAATAAAATAATTACCAATCCAATCAGAGGGCAACTCATTCAATATTTTCCACAATGTGATGTCTAATAATTTCATGACACGTCATCAGAAAGCAGTATCAGAGAAAAGCAGCCTCATGTTATGAATGTGCTAGTTAAATTATACAATAGTAATCCAAAATGTAGCAAGGGAGGAAAAAAAGTAAGTTAAGATCCACAATACTGTATGATATCCAACTTAAATGAAAGAAGCAAGAAGCATGCAAAACTAGAACAATTTAGCTTGAGATGGCAGCAGAAAAGGGATGTGGCTTTTGCACTGCTCTTCTCTTTTTTCCACAAGACAAAGCAGACATGAGGAGGCGATGTCTCTAGCTTTTTTAGGCAGCTCAATCAATAGATACTTCAATTTGAGTTTTTTTACATGGAGATGCTATTTTAACTTGAAAGGAGTAGTGGAAGCTATCTGAAATGCTGAAGCAATGAGAGATTATGTTGTAAGAGATGAATAATAAAGCTCTGTTTTTATCATCCTGTAATTCATTCCACTGTGACGAATTTCTTTTTTGAAGAAAAAAAAATATTCTTTTATCCTTAGATCTTCTTTCATGATAAAGCTGGATATCTGACATGGAATAAGACTTTCTGTACCTTGTGGTTTGTCTTGAGACAGGTACTTGGACTCTCCAGAAGGTGTCCCAGTCTCCTTGGGTATTCCTACAAGGGACAAAGGGCACACTTTAGTAGAAGTGATATGGGCTAGTTTACGACCTGCTTTCAGGGCTGCATATTCTGGTAACTAGCAATAGCCAAGCAAGTTTTCTCAATTGCACAGAGCACACATACCTGAAGCCTGAGGCAGTTTTTAAAAATATTAGCTGTGATTACTCTGCATCATTTGCTGTTCAGGTAGTAATTGTAACTTTTGGGTCACCTTCCCCTATAGGTATCTGTTAAATCACCTGGAGTTGTGAATTTTAATATCAATTGCTTACAGGGATTTTTAAATCCCGATTTGCAAACTCAGCGATAATCAAGACACATAGTTTTGGGTTCAGATCCTATAGCAGCTTATCTTCTGTACACCAGCCCTGTGGCTCAGAGACATTTTCAGAATGTTTCTGCAAATTTTAATTTTAAATAGAAAAAGCTGGGATTTTTTTAAAGTCTGATAATTTTGCAAGTGTTATCTTCAGCCAGAGTCTGTCAGGCTCATTCCCAATAAGCTATTAATTAAGTGAAGCACAATAGGTCAGTACATGGCTTTTCATATCCTAAAGCCAAAATGGTGAAATTCATTGGCTTCTTCAGCTTATGACAAAGATCTCATGTAAACAAGATCACAAAAGCAGTAGCAAAGATGTGAAATGCAGGGGAAATAATTTACTTAACACGCACACTTTTCTGCAAGCAGTAGTCTCAAGTTCAGCGCTTCTGGTGCCAAAAACAACAGTAACAAACAGTGTGATAAAAGCAGGTTTAAGTGAGACAGTGGGGAATTTGGCTTTAACAGGAGTGATGTACCCTGTAACGAGTTTACAGCTGAGAAGTAAGCTTTAGTCTGTTTCAACATTTGAGCTGAGGAATAAATAGGGAATTTTTCCTGATTATTAACTTCCCCTTTGTTTTGGCACAGGACTTACTTGTCAGGAAGACAAGAATGAATGTGAAGAGAGTCTTTGTTTTCCTGGAGTGTCTTGTATTAATACCTTTGGATCATATGCATGTGGAATTTGCCCCAGTGGGATGGAGGGAAATGGTAAAACTTGCAAATGTAAGTGTTTTGCATTATTTATTTTAACAGCTGGGGAAAAAAATGGGTTCAATTCTACTAGTATTATCCCTAACTGAGTACTTTGTCACTCACTTCAAGTATGGACCTTTAAATATACAGAGCAGACTATTGTCATGTTATATCGATATGGATAATTGCAAATTGGTCTTTGCTATACTTCACTGCAGTTTAGTTTCATTTTGGTTAGAATGAGCACCCTAGCATACAAAAAACTATTTCCAAGACTCTGGCTAGAAGAAGTAAGAAGTACTTGGGAAGCAGCCCCAGGATTACTTCTAGTTTGGGTTAGTGCTGTGTACGCAGGATGTAGGGTAAGAGGAAGAAGGTCCATGTGTGAATCCTTCACATCCTTTCACATTTTTTTCAAGGTGTGCTTTCACAGTCCACAGCTGCTGAGCTCATGCTTGGTGCAAAGTCATGCCACAGGTCCCAGCTACTGAAGGAAAAGGCCAGGAACAATTTTACACCTGCTCAGTATTTGCTTTTGGGGCAATAGATGCTTTAATAGGGAAACTACTGTGACCTTGTACTCTGCTGAGACCTTCCCAGTGCACGGGATGTGATCTACTCACCCTCAGCTTGTTTCAGTCGTATACACATAAGTCTTCTCCAAAAATAAATTTTGTTGGCCAGAAGGAGAGGAATCAGCACTTGAAGTGTTTTGTGTTCATTTGTTTGTCAGTTGGTGTTTCCAAAGAAACCTGAGAAGCAAAAGATACAGATATTAACTGTTTCAATATTAACTTTTCTCCCTATTGACTACCCAAAGGAAAAAAAATATCTGATGTAAAAAGACTCAGTTGTAACTGCAGGATCCTGGCTCCAGCAGGACTGCCTTTGCCAGATTTACCAAATATCCCTTCAATCATATTGCCAAATGTCTGTACAGAATGTTTTCTTTGATGTATTATTTGGCCACATTCGTTATTTCAAAGTGACTTTGCATCTGTTTCACTAATGTATATTTTTGTAGCTAATTTGACCAATGAAGGAAGGATTTACAAAATAATGCCCTTTTAAGAATAGTAATTTTTTCCTTTGCATTTTTTTTAATTACAGAAATGTTTCTTTATTTCCAAAATGCACATTTATTAGAAGGAATAAACCCGAGGGCTTCCGTGTCCAACCAAAATAGGGCAGAAATCGTTCTTTATGGTTCTTATATAGAGACTTAAAGTACCTACTCATACTTCCCTTGCTTAAGCAAGTATGAATGCTTCTGGGAGGAAGGAGGAGAAAACTGAAGCAGTGTTACAGCTCTTAGAGTGGGCTATAGCTCATTGCACTGTTTAACATATATAAAGGGTCATAGTCTCAGGCTTTAATAAGAGTACAGAATACCCCAGAGACCGAGGGCAATAGTTGTTTAACTTGCAATATTATCATAGAATCATAGAACGGTTTGGGTTGGAGGGGACCTTAAAGATCATCACATAGACTTTCCAATCTCTTAATTCGTTCAAGAAATTATCTTAATATTATGCAGAAATCAACATCATTTAGAGTCTACGCCAATCAATTTTGTTCTTTACATCCATGTAGACTTTGTACAGGTATTTTGACACTTGCAAAGTTTGCAGCTGAACTAACCGAAGCCAACAAACATGGACAACATAGTTTCAGACTGAAGCTTTCACCGAGAGGCAAGAATCAGACAGAGCACAGGTCACAGTGCTTAGAGCAGCATCTTCATCCAAGCAACAATGCTGTCTAATACATGGAGACCTGGGGCCGCCCTAGTGCCCTTAGCTCAATAAAAGATCACTGTGCATATTAAGAATGTCTCCCAGATAAGCAAAGCTCAGTGGGTTTGGGCATAGTAATTTTGTCTCTATTTGCTTTGAAGCTTTGCTGCGTGTCAGCAGCTGACTCACCTGATTTGGCTTTATTTGCTTGATGGTTGGCTTCCAGAATAAACTTATGTCAGGTTATCTGATTTGCTGTTACTGTTGCTTTTTATCATCAATCACAGCTAAGCTCTAACACCTTGTTTCCTTGTCTCCGTGCTTTCTTTTCACAGCTGTGCTTGCTGCTGACATTACAAAAGCCGTAAGTGTTGAAAAAGGCAATGGCAAAGGTGATTTGAACAAAACTGAGGTTAAGCAGCCACTGCCACCCTTAGAAGCAAAGAATTCGCCTGTAATTAAGAATTTCAACATAAGTGATAGACATGGTAGGTATACAAGGATATGAAATCTTTTTCAGTTGCTGCAGTTTACATATTCGGAAACCACACATTTTACCAGCTTAACAGCAAGCATAAACACATCATAGAAAGAGGTAGAAACAAAAACCCCATTAATACATCAGACCATGGATTGCCGCTAAACAATTTTACCTGGGAGTGAAACATTACAGCAGTAGCAACCAGAGTGGTCAGGCTTAACTAGAAACTGCACCACTTCTGAGGTAGAACAAAATCACTCCATACCTTAGTGAACAATGGAAAGCAAGATGATATGAATGACAGCTTGTGCCAGTTTGCCATAGCCAAGTGACACAGTATTTGATGGGCAGTCACTGAATTAAGACTGAGTTTTGAGCATAAGTGGAGATCAGCTCTTGAAGTACGAACTTAACTGTGGCAGTCGTTTTTCCCAGAGATGGGGCGCTACAGCACTCCGACATGGTGTGCACTGCACAATGCTTACATTGGCCCTGTTCTACCGAGTATGGCACACTTAGTTGATTTTCTAGTGAAAACAGGGAACAGAAAGATTGAGCCTGGGTATATCTGTAGTGGAGGGGCATATGTAGCAGAAAAGGTAATTTTTTCCTCACCTTCTTTTTTTTATATCTGTACAAGCCAGGCAACACATAACCAAAACTTGCTTCTTACAGGTTATCCATCATAATGCTGTAGGTAAGGTACAAGAATATTGCTGAAAATACTTGAGAATCATCATGGAGACCTCACTGGAGGCAGTTAAAAAAGATCTACAGTGATCATTAAGATTTTATTCATCATCTGTTCTCTGTCTTGACACTATTAAATACTTCACAAGTAGTTCATATACACTTGCTATTTGGTGACATCATAAGAGATAAAATATTATATACTACCAGAGTGTTAAATTTTGCACGTAGTTCTAAGATAATTGAAGTAGTCTCCTGTTATACAAGGTTTGACACATTAAGGATGATTTCTAGATCAGAAACATACGTACTTGACAGTGTATTTTTAATGGTAGGGTATATGTTCTGTCAGGTTTGATGATTACCTTCCAATTATAAAACACCAAAAGGATGTCAAATAATACAGTTTCTCACTCGGTTAATCTTTCACTTACTCTGAAAATTAGAGTTTCTATATTATCCATGATAAATGCCAAACAACTTTGAGTAATAATCTTGAAAACATATAATTAGAGGACTAATAAATCTTGCTTTAATGAGTAACAGCTGTTCTGTTACACTGTGCCTACAGGACATTCTCATGTTTGGCTCAAGGTTTGTGAACATTCTGCATTAATTAGACTTTAAAAGAATGAAAGCAGTTATAAAGATTTAGCTAGGCTTAGGCAGTCACTACTTAATTTTATATAAGCATTTGATTTGAGAAATTAAAAATAAACATGCTTGAACTCCCTTCTTGTTTTAGGCCATGCAGCACCACTGTCACATATTACTACCTGTGCCAACAGGCCATGTTTTCCTGGAGTGTTATGTTTTGATCGGAAACCCCCTTACGTTGGATATGTCTGTGGCCGATGTCCAGCAGGGTTTTTTGGAAATGGTCGAATTTGTACCAAAGTCCCCAGACCAGGTACTTTCTAATTTTTAGCATTTTAAAAAGGTTTTGCATACAAAGGCTGTAAGAAAATATGAACTAATATGGCATTACAATACAAAGTACTTTATAATCAGACACTGAAGGCTCTTTTCTTTCACTCTCACCTGACAAGCAGCTAGCAGGTCTTATTTCAGGAACAACTGGCTCTCTTGAGCTGAAATTCAGTAGATTAATAACCACATCACTTGACACTAGGGAGGATTCTTCACAACAGGACTTACTGGGTGGTATGGATCACCACCACATCTGTATTTCTGCCACAGCACTGGCACAGGATTTCAAAACATGTTTCGTCCTCAGTAAGATCAGAACATGACACATGCCAGTATTACTCTGCTTTCCTTCTTTCCTAATTCTCTTGCTGCAAGGCATCTGTTCTCCAAGGTGACCTGTGAAGATGATGATAAACAAAGTGTCATGCAAGAACAACTATACCAACAACCAAAGGCAACAGATAATTAAAGCATTTCAATTGTATCGTTTGTAGCCTGAGCAATAATCTTCCTTAGGGATCTCCGAAACTCAGCCGGTCCCATTAATCTCTGAGGACTGAACATTAGAAGAGGTCTTCTGCTGTGATAAAAGAAAATCTGGGTCCTGACCTCAGGCAGAAAGTGGCAATAGCATAGCAACCACTCATCAGTCATCCAATCCTGCCCTCTCTCAATGAAATTCTCATATTTAAAGTACAGTTCTCTAGGGACAGCCTGGATGTTTGTCCCCTTTTTACTGCCTGGAGTGATTTGCCAAGAGAATGCATGTTTATTCTTTAATAACAGTAGTTACTAGGTCAGATTCCTTAGTTTTCTTCTAAGTCTTTTCCTTATATATTCAAAACAGACTGGCTTGAAACCTGTCATATTTTTCTTCAACCTCCTACACTTGACAAACCCATCTTAGCTCCCCATTCTTTATCCGAATCAATGACTGTTACCTTGGTGTTATACTTTAATGCACACTATCAAAGCAGAAGTTTACTGCTTAGTGTAGGTATTATCCAATCTCTTTGAACTATAAATTGATTTTAGCTAGTTCTCTGAATTTAAAGGTCACAAAAATAAACCCAACACTTTTCTTTCTCTAGCAACGAGTATGTACAAAGTGTACTTACTCTGTCAGAGTTGCTAAGTCAGCTATTGCCTCTTCTATAACTTGGTGAATCTGTAAAAGTTTTTGAGCAAAAAAAGAAATGTAAAAATTCATTGTGCGTATAAATAAACTAGCATTTCTGTTATTGCCCAAAGCTGCACCTTGTCGTTGACGGGATATATGTTGTACACCCCAAAGGTCATTTGAAAGCTGTTGAGTAGAACAAACAGTCTACAGCTGTAGGTATTGGTACAGTAAATCAGACACACTTACATCGTGCTTATATAAATATTAACCAATAAATTTGTGTATGTTCTAAAAAGGGAAGCAGAGACAGTAGTTGCCGTTTGCTGTGTTTCGTACCTGTCATACACAACTCCAGGCAAGATTTAAGAAATATCAGGATCTGAAACTAACATATGCTTCTTTCAAAAGTGAGCTGTATATCAAAGGCTGGGGGATTGTTTTTCTTTTTCCTCTTGAGCACACAGCTGAGTCCAGGACTTCACGTTGCAAATGTGGCCATCCAACCAGCTTGAGCACTTTGGCAAGGGAACGAAAAGGAAATGGTTTTTGTTCCATCAGAATCTTATATTCACTCATGTGAATTATATCACAACATAAATGACGAGAATCTTGTGCCTCAAGGTTGAATGGGAGGAGTCATTTGTTTTAATATTTAGAAATGAAAGTGATTGTTGCAGCTCTGTGAGTGTCCTAATTTATGACCAAAATGATTGGTTTCTTTCTTTCCCATGTGCTTTGTTAGTTGAAGCAGACGTATTGTATAGCACTGATGATTACAAGATATCAGACAAAAAAGAGTGAACTTTCAATTAAATTTACATACAGTTGTGGGATATGATTATTGTGAAATTCTCCCTGTTAGAATAATAGCTTTTTCCCTTGTAACTTATGCCACCAGTCTTCAAATGAAACAGAACATATCCTCTTCAACTTGCCACGGTGCTTGTGAAGGTACTGGGATTACGTGCCTCTTCTTTCCAACTCTAGTAATTTTAGTCTAAAAATACCCTTTCTAATCCCTATTTTGTACTTTTATTGGCTGCTTTTGACATGAAGTTATACCCAATTGTTGTGATTTAGGGATTAAAGGATAAGTATTTTTTCATATAGAAACCACAAAAATTACCCATCTGCCTTTGTAGACTACCGAGGAGAAAAAATATGCCAGAAGAAAATTGTTTCCTAAATCAGTGTTTAATGAGCTGCACCCAAAAGTCCTTCAATTTTGATTTATAATCAACAAAGTACCATTTCCTCAGCATTGATATGTGATAGGTATTCACCTTTCGATGTACTTGACTTATTGTAAACTATGTAACTCCACAAATAAATTTCTGAGATATACTTACCTGCTCTGCCAACAATGCAGGGCCTCGGTGTGTTCTCACATGTTTTACCTGGCTTATATCAGTAGTTTGTACAGTTCAAATCAACTAGACTTGGTTGCAATTGGTTTTTAAATACATCAGGTTAGTCTTAAGGAAAAACATCACCAGTATCAAAGTCAATATGGAGTTTCATATATAAAGGGAAATTATTCTTTTTAAAAATACATATCAGAACATATCGTATCAGAAACAAAGAAATATTTCTTTCCCTTCAAAATCCATAAAGCAAGTATCTTACTTTTTTTTTTTAAGTTATTAGTAGGATCAAAAGTCCCTTAATTTTGCTGGCATCGCAACAAAGAGGAAATTCAAAGGAATTCAAATCTGTCCAGGCTTTCCTGAGCACATTTCACATTTGTATAAAATACCTGTTACTTTTGTTAGAAGAGGCAGATCTATTAAATCAAACCATGCAGTATCATTGGTCATATTCTTGGCACAAAGAAAACTAATGTATCCTAACGGGGGATGCTGGTGATGTTCCTGCATGTTGCAATATTAGTTCTCGTCAGACACTACTGGTATTTCTCTAGACTGGTTTCATCATTCATAGTCACACAGATACTCATCTGTTTGCAGTTTCTTTAGCAGGTTAGAGAGGTTGGTGTCATCACAAAAAATTTATTTTTTTCCTATTAGTAAATCAGCAATTTTACTGGACAAAGCAGAGCCACATCCATCACCGGTAAAAGATGGGTTTGTTCAGAGCCAGCTCTTTCTGCCTCTCCTGGTTTAGGGAGCCGAAGATCAAGGGAGAGGATTATTTTATGATCTCTGTAATCGAGTTCTGCTTTTCCATTCTGAACACCACTGCTAGCTCTCCTGCCACAGCAGTTAATTTGTAGTATTGTAGAGGTTTGTCACTTGATATACTTTTGTATGTGCCAGCTATTTGTTATGTTTATGTACTCTATATTTTACACTATTCCAGTATCTACATTGTGTTTCTGAACTTTGGTTTTACATCAGAGAGACCTCTGTGGCCTTCTCATTTACACCACTGTCAGATCAACATCAAGGTGTGGGTTTAAAAGGAGAATAAAATGTTTTGAATTAAAGGAATATGTGTTTAAACACACAGTGCTCAGTCTAACATCAGAGGAACATATTAGACTTAAGTATTACATTCTTAACTCTTAACTTTGAGATCACTGATGTTGTTATTAGTACTCATTGCTGATCACTGTCCATGGAAAATAAATAACTCCAGTAAGAGCTTTGGCCACCAAACCAAGGTTTCATCTCTGGATCTGCCTGCAGGAGTAGGGACCTCTTACTGCCTGGAACCAGTCAAATGATCTTTCTTCACAAGATGACTGAAGAACATAATGGACTCCTTTCATCTCTTATCTATCAAACAGAATTGATGAATTTGCATTAAAAAGATCAAGGCCCAGATTCCAGTCTCACTTGCACCAGTTTAAATCATAAGTGATTCCATTAAATGAATAGCATTATCTTAATGGAGTGAGTAAAGCATTGCTCCTGGAAGACACATCTTAAAACCTGTTGAGGTAGGCACATCACACACAGAACTTTAAAATAAAAATTCTGTGTGTACCAATAGGTGTAGATACAATGAACACACTTTTCAGCATTCAGAGGGCACTTTGCAATGCTTAACTAACCAGTCTTGACATGGTTCATGCAATGAGTTACAAGGCTTACTCAAAAGCAGGAATATTTTTATGCTGCAGTCATTAGCTGTGATGTTGTCCGAGATCCTTGCAAAGAAGGCATAACAAAAAAACCCAGATAAATAGTAAATAATACTCTGATTTGCCTCTGTGTGGTAATAGCTCTCATCTATTCTTGTGGGCTCCAGAACCGGGGATCATTGCATCTCAATGCCGTAGCTTCCAGCTCCTAGCTCTGACTTAGGCCATCGAAACTCCATCCACAATTCATCTTTGGAATTTATGGTGGAAGTTGCCAATCCTCTTAGTAAACTATATTTCACTGTTTCTAGTTTGTGTATTTCAAGACGAAACGTACATTTTTTTTCAGACTGAGCAGCTGTGATGTAATGATGTCTCCTTCAAAGTACATAATAAAATGGCAACCGAAGTGGGGTTAGAAATGCCACACAAAGACATTCCTTGTAAATTTGGACTCATGAAAGACAGTTTTGCAAATGATATATCAGCAGTCTTCACACAAGGCCAGGATCAGCCTGGCATATTGGACATAAGCTGTGACCCTTTCCTGCCCTCTGAGTATCTAATTGCCACTGAAAATCCGCTCCCGTACTTGTCAAGATAGAAAGGGAATCTGAGAGTCTTTCTGATGGCTTTCTCTTCCTTAGGGATACCTAATAAAATATTAAGTATTTTCAGAAAAATATCAACAGAGGCCTGTACAGCATATGCTATGATCCAAACATAACAACTAAAGTAGGATCTGTGGGAAGAATATGTTTAGATAATTTAAAAGATAAACGATTTCCAGCTTCACTGACCCATATACCCTGTCAATCTAGAATTTGTTAAGTGCTTCCAATACAGATGATATATTTAGGAAATGATGTAGCTCAGCAATAGAAGACCAATGAAGCCCAAGCCATAAACCCACTAGGGAAGAGGACTCAGCTGTATGCCATGAATAATATTTACATTCAATCAGAACATCAAGTACAGATTAGATTTCTCTCCTACCAAGAATGTGCCACCTTTCGCTTAAGCAATCACTGTGCCATCATGACTTTTAAGTGATAATAACGACTCAGTCGCCAACAAATGATCTATGGAGGATACAGGCTCTGTAGTTTTTTACACTGACAGAACAGAGAGCAAGATTGTCTCCTCTTAAAATTCCCAAGCTCATTTAATCATCTAGCTATAATAGCACATAGCTTTTAAAGAGAGCCAACCCTGTTTTCACAAATTTGATAAGATTGCTGTTTTGTTAGAGGCACTTAGAAGCCCTGCAAACTGTAAGTAACTCATACTGGACCAATATCCTGGCCCCATTAAAGCAACACAAGATTTTTGCCGCTAGTTGCAAAAGCAAAGCAGGAGCTGAAGAAAAAGGATCCATAAGCAACGCAAAGCACAGTACAGTACAGGGGGATAAAAATAGGAGTGAAATACAGAGACTCGTCATTGCTCAGGACAAATGTAGCACTAGTTCCTTAACATCTTGCTGTTGTTGATGAACAGGTACCTACAGATGTAGTGGCACTTACCCATTGGACTTGCTTGCAGAAGATATTCATTGCCAAACCACGTGAATTTTGCCCCCAAAATTACGTGTCACATGTATAGAGCTAATTCATTTCTGAAGGGACACAGCAACAGCCGATAGGTAACTCAAGACAGCTGATCCTGTGGGATGCAGGAGAAAATGATCTCTCATGCTGATAATTTATTAGATTAAGAATTTCATAGAATCACAGAATAGCCCAGGTTGGAAGGGATCTCAAAAGATCATCTGGTCCTACCTTTGATTTCTCGAAGAGAATTTATCTCATGTATTATGATAAAAGTACAAAGGACTTGTTTTGTTTTTGGTTTAATTTCTATAGGACATGGGGGTAGAACTGCACACTGGAAAGTATCACTAGAGCTCTCTGGTCTATAAGTGGTGGAACCACTGATAAATCTTCTATAATACTAAAAAATAACAATTCTCACAAAGAGTTTCTCCATGCTTACACACCTTGCTTACAATACTTATAGAATATTTTCCTAAAAATCTCAGATTTGAATCAAGCTATTAGTTCATGAAATTTTAAATTCTCCTTAAGCTAACATAATACCTCACAGGAAAAGCAATCCTTAAGGCTTCTTCCTTCCTTCTCCCCCAAATGCCTCTGGTCAGTTCATAACTTCCCATTTATATTTGTTTGAACGTAAAAAGAAAAGTGGATCTGTTATCTTCTTCATAGCTATTTATGTTACAATGTTGACTCTAAGTGACCTCAGCTTGCTTCAAAATTCTTGCTCTGTTAAAACCGGTACTTTCCACAATACATCCTCAGAGCCTAAGGGAGGAAAAGATTCAACACAACACCTTTGCTAGCTGAAGTGTCACTATCAAAACTCTCTACTTGCTCATCCTAATACTCTTTCAAAAAGAAGACTACAAACATTATAAAGGCACGTCTCATGATATGACTGTCCCCCAACACGCCACCACAGAATTCAGAGTAAGTTTTGTCAAGAGCTGATGACACCTAGGTTAGCAGTGAGCTATAGCTTAACAACCACACTCCAGAAACTGTTGCATTAACAGCATATGCTCTTCAGATGGAAGATAAGCTTCAAATTCTGAACTAATGCTGTTTTGCTTGGATTTAGGGGTGCCACCCCTCTTCTAAACTGCAACCTGGATTCAATGCACAATGCTCACAGCCTTTATGCAGAGCTAAATGCACACACCTTTCGTCATGGCTAACCTGCTGGCAATAGTGAAAAACCCCATTGGTTAAACCAGAAACAAACTAACAGAACTGACTAGGAACTTTAGTGACACACCATCTGAAAACTCATTACCAAAATTCCACGCTTTTTGTTTTCTGTTTTGGAAGGAAACTATAGATAGTTGTCAACCTAATCAGTTGAAATTGTGGAGAACGCCATAAAAGCATGATTTCACTGAGGGTATTTATATGTGCTTATACAGTACTAAAATAGATCCATCACTGGTCTCCAACAAGGCACAGTTCAGATTGTTTCTTGGCTTTCATATGTAAAGTAACTAATTTTTATGTGTTTACAGCCCCAAACAACATAATTAAAGTTTTAGACCATTTACTTCTTGAATTGAATAAAAAGAGAATTTCAGTAAAATATTCAAATTTAAGCTATTTTTTTCTTTGAAGAAATATTATGGATTTTCTTTTGAAGAAATGTTATGAACTTTCTTTATAATCTCTTATTACAGTTCTAACGGATTCTACATAAATATTTCAGAAAATCAGACAGGGATGCTTCAGAGACAATCTGTCTTGATTTAGCCTGTTTTGTATATATCTATCAACCTGTTCAATCCATGAGAGAGTCTGAAGGCCCATGAGACATCATCAGATAAGAATACAGTTTCTATTAATTTTTCCATCTCTCACAGTGCTGAGAAGTAAAATATACTGCCAATTCCTGAATAGATAATATGATTTAGTTTTATGAACTCTATTTTAATACTGTCTTTGTAGCTGCTGAAATAATACAGTTGCAGACTCAAATAATTGGAGAAGGTAGAACACAAAGAGGAGAGGTAAAAGTTCAGACCTGAAAGATGGGCAAGGGATAATAAGAGAAAGGACAATAAAACAGTTACGAGGGGGCTAAGGGGGTGATCCGTGGTGTTTTGAAACACCACCATACTTCTCCTTCCCTTCCTGTTTTGTTAGTTGGATATTCAGAGAAAAGCCCAGGAAGAACATTTCTGAAAACTGCAGCAGAGAACGGGTTAGACCCAAGGAATGTAAAGAGCATGGAAAGAAATCTAGTAACAAAGGAGCACAAGGAGCAAGGCTCCTGTGCAAGGGGTGAGTGCACATCAAACGTGTTGAGTTTTTCCAGCCCCTAGGAGAGAACTTTTCAATTAAATCTTGAAATAAACTGGAAGGCAGGAGGGGTGTTTGAGAAAACATAGGTTGTTTGTAAAAACATAGCTGGTTTCTAAATCTCCATATACAATCCAATAGAGATACCGATAAAGAAAAATATTGATAGAGGGGGAAAAAAATCCCTGCTTGGGGAGCATGTTCATATCTTCGCAATCAGTTATTCTTACACCATTTTTAAAAACTCTGTCTCTGGTGACACTGACATTAAAATTTCTATTGAAAACATACAGAAAACATCACAAAAGTTGAAAGAATTAGACACCAGCAGAGTCTACAAACAGAGTGCACAAAATGCATTCTTTTCCTCAAAGACCCATTTTTTTGTACAGCTCTCACTGTGTTCATAGCCTTCTTGCACCGTTCTTGCACTTTACCTGCGTATGATACCTTGTCCCAAGAATCTTACTAACCAAAAGCTGATGGATACCTCCTAGGAACACAGATACATATATATTATATGAAAGTGTTATGTATTAGGATAAGTTTCATATTTAGGACTGTTTTACTACTTTCAGACTTGAGTGTCATTCTAGAAATCCAGTTTATAGCCTGACGCTACCATTTAGATAATGGTAGATCTCAGGATTCCTGAAAAAGGGACCAATCATTTAAAGTCTATGGAGAAATCTGGCTTAAATTAATATAAAATAAGGCAGTATTAATGCCCCAGGTTTTTAAGTTTTTTGTTTCTCTTAATCTCTAAATTATAATGCTTTCCATCAAAAAAGTTTTATGAACAGAAAATTATTTCATATAAGGAAAGGGCTATACATAAGCAAAATCTGTCTAAGGCATTGTTCTGGTGAGTATGAAAAGGTTTATCTTTATGTTTTCCTTGACATACCTTAGACAAGACTGAAAGTGTTCTCTGACATGTAGTCAGTAACATCACTTCTATGTTCATGAACTGTTTGCTTCCTGACAGAGCATCTCAGAACCCCCATTTTCTTTAAGTACCTCAGTTAATTAATTGAGATGTCAATTATATTGTTCTGAAAACCTAGAGGCAAATGTACTCACTGATGGCAGAGTCTAGACCCCATGCCATTTCTGGGAATCATTTACTCTGAATGCAGGGAGATTCATAAACAGTTTAGTGGATGAGCTGGCTGAAGACCCCAGATTTTCTCCTCCACAAAAAGCGTTGTGTTAGAGCAGCATGATTTTGTATTTCACGCGCACGAAGCAAACTTGCATTGCAAATTATGAATGGTGTTACGGAATTGCGTATGTGCAGCTGCAGCCACATTTCACAAACAAAAGAGTCTGAAGCAGAGGATTAGTTATAATCAGAAGTGGCTGAGTGACACAGAGTCTGTAAAATATTCCCTATTGCTCATGATTTTGGTAGGTGAGGGGGAAGAAAATTGCTTACCAGCCAGCAACATCAGCAACACAACCTCACTTTGTAGGAGGCTGAAACATAGCTCAGGGACGGCGAACTAGGTGTTCACCTTTTAATTTCGTCATTAAAGCAACAAGTGAGTAAATTTACCCATCACAAGAGTGGTGGTTTGAGAGCACGGATTCTAATAAGCCTGAATGCGCCTGCACAGATGGATACAGAGTCGTGCGACTCCCTTGCTCATGTGCTGACCTGTCTGGATGTAAGGCACACTGGTCCTCAGCTGTCTCGCTCTGTTAGCCCAGCACAAGCTAAACAGCCTGGCTGGTTCATTCTGTCTGCCTGTGCACAGCTAGTGCCTCACACGCAGCTCCACATCGTTTTCCGATTTGCGAGTTCCAGATCTGGGTATCTCTTATATAAAAGTTATTACTCATATCCTCTATTTCCACATTTTTCACAGTGGGGACTAACTTTCGCCTGTGCCAACTTCCATTGTGTTCTGTGTTCCTAAACTCTTTTATAACACATTGGACTTTTCTTTTTTTGATGTAAAAAAATAGGTAAAGGATCATAAGCTCTAAATTTAAACTCCTGTCTAAATACATAATAGTATCCCAGTCCCAATGAGTCTTTAAGATGCTTTTGTTTCTGCAAAAATAATCCTGGCAGTATATCCTTTGTAGAGCTTGGGAAGTTGAATCTGTACCTCACTTAAAGGAGCTGAGGAATTTATTCTGGGAGTTACTGCTTGTGATTGTAAGACAAGGGACACTGGTGACTGGGAAGTCCAAGCAGCATCTGCACGTGGGGAAATTCTGGATACTTAGAGGAAGGACGGGAGAATCAAAGCTGTATTTCTAAATATTTGGGAGAGGGAAGACATTAGTGTGTGCCTCATTGGCTAAACAGAAGATTTAGGAATTAAACACAGGCTGAGTAGAGAAGAAAGTTATGCTAGAACTTAATCAAATAAAACAGCAGATTAAGAATTGATGGAAAACCAGAATTTCCCTAGAGCTTCCTATTGACAGCTGCTCTGTTTCCCCTTCCTCACCAAGTAAAAACAGAAAAAAATATTAATGTGGAAAAGTAGATAGAGAAGTGGGATGATCCTTAATACTCTGGTAACAAGACTTCTTAGACCAGTGTATTTTTTCTGTTCTCTCTTGACATTTTAAATAAGATATATGTGCTGGTAGATGTTTCAAATTTTAAATGATGACCCACATAGCGTAATGTGTCAGAAGAGCATTTCTCTGTCGACATTCTTCTGAATGAGAAATGTGCTACACAGCATGTACTACTAAATGTTAATAGCTCTAAAACCACACAAATTGTGAATTTATTGAGTTGTGCTGATAATGAATTCTTAAACTATTCAGAGACTTCTGAAATAGTTGTAACTTGATCAGGATTAAAGGTGCTCATAATCCTCTGAACCAACAGGCAGAAAAGACCACAGCCAGATGATCTTGCTAAGGAGAAAGAGCCAGTATCCACCTGAAGAGTAGGCTGATTTGGGGTATTTTAGCAGATTAAAGGAGAGAGCAGCACTCGAGATTACATGGCGATACTTATGGCGTCTCTCTTATGTCATTACATAAAAAAAGTTACACTTACATTTAAAAACAAAATATAAGTTTTGAAGCCTAATAGCTGCAAAGAGAAGCATGGAGATGAAAAGGCAATAAATACTCGTGTCTACAAGAAGCTTAAGCGAGTGTTTGTGGTGTCAGCTGCTAGCGGTAGGTCAGGACGGGGCTGTCTCCAAGGCACATGGCTTGGCAAGAAAGGTGTAGAGGTGCATAAGTCTAAGAACAGCAAAGACTTGGGTGAATGGCACAGAGGAATATGGTAACCAACATCGTCCACCCTGTCCCAGGCAGAGGGCGAAATCTGTGGTGCTTCTCTGGGGACAGAAATGGTTGGGGTCAGAAGGGGATGTGGTTTCTCTTAATTCAAGTCTGGATGTGACCTTTTTCTGAAAGCTTGTAAATGAAAAACAAAAAAATTAAGCAGAAACTCAGAAGACAGAAAATATAATAGATTCTTTTTCTGTCTTTCAGAGTGTTGATAACTAACTCTGAGTTTAAGAGATTGTCAAGTGTCGTCCCTATTTGTGTTTTCACTAGCTTATGTAGTCATTTTATTACCTTCAGAATGAACACGATCCTCTTCAACTACAGATACCTAGTAGTTCACTATAAAATGCAATTCAAGCAAGAGAAGAAATCAGAATTTGCTGTGCCTTAAGAATACCATGATGGCATTGGCGAGCAAGAACGAGAGACTGGTGATGATGATTCTGACTTATGAGCTTAGTGAGAGGCACAAAATGTCTGAAACCCTGGGTGAAGCCTGGGGAGTTCTCATGTCGGGGAACTCCCACACCACAGAGATGGAAAATGTCCTGGTGTTGAGTTGGATGAGAGAATGTTAAACTTCTGCCTTGGAAATTTGCCCTCTATCACCCTTGTTCTAATCTTCCCCAGGCAGGGGGACAACAGAGGAACCAATCTTCTCGGGGCCTGATCCATCCTAGGGTTGCACTGTGCTTACAGTGGTGTAACTCCATCGATACGAATGGAGCTCCTGCCACACGCAGCTGGAGCAAGGCAGCAGGTTCTTGGTCTTTTATCAACTTCTGTGAAAAATAAACTCAATCGTTCTGCTGCTACACACTTCCCTGTTGGTATAGGCAGAAGTACTGACAGGTAGTGAGATGTATTTTTGTACCATCGTACAACCTTGAGCACTTTGCCTTGTCATTGTTTTTGTTATTTTCATCCAGTCCAATATGTAATCATACAGCTGCTTCACAGAGAAAAGCAGATTCACGCCATCACAGTTGTGCATTGATAATGCGTTACACATTTGAAGATATTGATCGACTGCAAGGAAAATAAATTGAAGTAATACGGGATTTGAGAAAGCTGCTGACTACTGACAACTAAGTCTGCAATCTTTTGGTATATTTCTTTGTTTTAGCTTATTTAGATGTCTAGAAGACCGCAGAAAGAAATTTTCAGGTATTCCAGAAAGAATTTAATTGCACTGTATCACTATAAGTAAAAATCTGAAATAACGAAAGCTGAGAGGACACTCTAGTCACCACATTTCAATGACACCAACACCTTACAAAGTTTGAAGGCCTCTACAGAGTGGACGAGGGACCCCGATCAGTATATATCATAGTGAGCAACCAACCAAAATGTATCACCACTCTTCGTTTGTAACATTATTTGAGATGTAAAAATTTCATTGTCATATATACACTTCAACAGTATGCTCCCCCTTACACAGAAGGCTGAAGCTTCTTTGCAGGAAGGGTGTATTGCCTATATCATCTGGTAAAGATATAAAAGATTTCCCTTTCTCAAGTAGTTAGTTTGATCCCGTTACTATTACTAAAATTTGGTTAGGAGGAAAACGAATTTAATTATGACACAGTGTAAGGAGCTCAAAGCTATAATCAGGGCTCATTTTGGAAATTTGTCAGAGAGGTCATTCAGCCCTTCACTGTCATTCCTGTTGATTTCTGGTTCCTGAATTAAATTTTCTAAAGGCAGTAATGATCATCTATTACTGATAATTTTCTATGGGGATATTTCTTTCACCTTTCTCTCATTCATTTTTAAAAATCCTTTGACTTCTCCTCTCCTCTCATACTCTTTTTGCTGATGTCCTCCCTGCTTCACCATTTCTTTTCTTCCATTCTGTGTACCTCATCATTCATCAGCCTTACTTTGCACAGAAAAATCCATCTGTTTACCTACTGCTTTACTAAATACTTTGTATTTACCTACTGACATCCATAGTTTGATCCAGTACCATTGTGAAACTCCAAAACATTATGCTTCAGAGCAATGAAAACTCATCAGCCACCAGTAGAATGGCACTGTTTATCAGCCAGATAAACACAACTTTGGATGCCAGGACTTGCTTTGATCTAGTCAATGCTCTAGCTTTTATTTTGGCCTTTGCCAAGTATCTTAATCTCTTTTCTTGTAAACTGTGGTTGTTTTCTACATCAATAGGAGTTTTTAAGAAAGTGATTAATATTTGTATTTAAAAGGAAGAGTTACATCCTGCATGGGGTTAACCCTAGAACCAAGTGAGGTTTTTGTTCAGGATCCAATACATTCCATTTCCTATGGAGTGAGTATGCCAGAACTGGTTAAAAATAGCTTCTTCCATTCATTAGAGTCAGCAGATGGCCATTAATCTTCCTGAAAGTATCGATTCAAACTACTCGTCTCCACTTTCAAGGCCCTTCACAGACTCCCCTTTCCCCATCTATCATCCCTCCTTACACAACTGAAAAGGTGGCTGGCTTTGTAACGAGTGGGTGACAGTTACAAAACAGCAGTCTCTCTTACATGCTGCCCCTCACGTCTGGAGGGAGCTGTACACAGCACTAACAAAGCTTTTCCATTTGTCTCCTTTAAATGCTTTCCTAAAACTTTCCTTTGCCATAAGGACTACAAAAGCATTGCATAGTTATACACCGGTGTGATGGGACTGGAGTGTCTCTCTCTAGGACACGATTTTGCCAAAGACCATCTTAACATCATTCGTGTCTCCACCTCCGATATCTATCTGTCCCAAAAGGCAACATCTCATCTTACTCCTAGCCTGCAAGAGCTTGAAAGCAAAGTCTCTGTGTTATGTACCATCTAGAAGAACATTTCCCAGCACACTATTGCAATATAGACATTTAATAACAAACAAATATTAGCTCAGCTGGTCAAGAACTGTAGGGTGCACCATGGAAGGGTGCACAGTGCCAAAGCCTCATGGACTAGTGTAAGCCAAAATTAGTAAACCAGCATGGCAACTGGTTTTGCCTGACTGCAGTTTAATCCCTGTAAGACCACTGCTGCACCTCAAAGAATAATGCCTGACCTTCACTGAGACATACTGCCTTAGGCCTAATGTTAAGCCAGCATAAACACATTTCATCTAGTTCATGAACTGCCACCCTGTTAGTTTCAGTATTGCAGTTCCCTGGCATCCAATGCTGGTGTTACCTATAGCAGATAACACCACTTCTATGTCAGCCAGAATAAATGTGTCCTTAGCATATATGATAGATTAGTCTTTTACTTCTAGAGTTGATATTCTGTTCGTATAAGCTAATGTTCACTGTGGTTCTTTTTCACTCTAGACCAGCAAATTTGGATAATATGTATCTTCCTTCTGCCCTAGTTTCAAGACCTCCCCAAAGCCATGTGGATTTTATTGGAAGAAATATTGAAGATGCTAGAGGCTCTCACCAGGAAGACATTTTAAAGACGTCAAGAAACATATATTCCCTTCTTTCCCAAACCCAAATTCCAAGAACAGAAACTACATACTTTTTGGAAAGAAACCCCAGAGTCATTAACACTCCATCCTTCCCAATGAAAAGGAAGACTTCCCAGGCTCAGACATCGTCAGAAACAAACCCTGATATGGAGTCCAAAGCACCTAAGAAACAATCTTTTCTTGAAAAAAGAAGTGATGCACACAACTCCCTTCTGCACGAGGAGCCAGACCCCAAAGCCACAACTGCCAGCGTGACAACCCATACCCCTCTCCATTTTAAACAATACACACCAGGTACAACACAGATTGTTCCTTCTCACCACAACACAAATGCAAGTTCCTTGTTTGCAAGGCCACATGCTGTTCAGCAAACTCATTCCAAGGATGGCTACTCTCCCAAGAAATGGCCTGGTCGAGCCGCAATCTTGAAGATTAAACCATCCCGAGATTTCCCACCAGAGCAGCAGCGAGTATCTCCTTTGGCAACACGTCTCACCTCCCCTTTCCATTTAGTAGGTTCTTCCCTTCATACAGGTCCCTGGAGTGCTAACATCCCAGCAGGGTCTGCTCCCCAAGCAAGGCTCCCAGCACAGACCACAGCAGCCGGAAAGACGTACCACGCAGCAATGGATCATGCGGAACTGCCAAAAACCAGGAGTGGGACCCATCAGAAAGTTGTTTGTGCTAATACGCCGTGCTTTACTGGTGTGCAGTGCGAGCTGGCTGAACATGGAGGATTTAAATGTGGGCCTTGTCCCACTGGGTACAGTGGTGATGGAATTACATGTGAAGGTAAGTGGGAAAATCCTCTTTCAAATCCTTTTATAACTGCAAATCTAATAACTCTCCAAAATAAAAATTAATTTTGATTATAAATGTGGAGATTTTTCTAGCTGGGATTGTTTCAAAGCCAATTATATTTCAAAACAACAGACAAATGTTCTATAACTTTCTGCTTACAAAAATGACGTATTTATTTGATAACATCTAATCTATTGAAAGCAGGGACAGATTGTGATCTTGCTTACCCTTGCTTAAGGCCAGATTCATTCTACTGAAGTTATTACATTTGAAAACATAAAACTTCTGTGGGAAAGGGTAAAATTGACTCCATTTCTCTATACAACACATATTCTAGGAAACAATAATTGTTCTACTACCTTAAAAACTACTTTTAAATATTTATCTAATATCTTAAACACAAAACTGAACTTGTCATCTGAAATGTGTAGCACCAGAAGGGTTTTCACAATATATTGAGTTATATATTAGACAGCTTAGAATACCTCCTTAAAACATAGTGTTATGCACATTGTGGAAAAAATGAATTCCCTGACTTAGCTATCATTAATTACAACGTTTTTTTGAAATCCCTTTGATAAGTTGATATCTTAATTGGCATTTGACTACACAAAGCAAAAGTATTTGCATCATCTATTTCATTCTCTTTCACACATGCTTTCTCATGCCCTGCGCACAGAGCAGACAGGCACAGGGAGGTCTCAGCTGTGATGCGCTGTGGGTGACTTTGCAGGAGGACCCCTGTAAGCGAGACTTTGTGTGGGTGTAAAGCCCCCAGCAATACTGTAGCCCTCTGAGCTCAGAGCAGTGCTGGAGATACATTACAAAATGCATAAGAAAAGGTTACTTTAATCTTGGGTGCTGAAGTTTTTTGCCTGTTTGCACATTTCTGAAATATCCCTTCTAAAGGACTTCAGTGTACGGGGCACAAAGGACCCTGTCCTTGACCTCTGTTGTATACCTGAAGCCTGCAAAAGCACCAAGTAGCTCCTAGTACTGGGAAGCCCAAAGCCACTTTGACCACAGCATGGCCTCCCCTTGAAGACCAGGCCTGTGTATACATGAATATTTATGAATATGGACATACAGCTGCTTTGTATATATTTAGTATGCCCATCAGTATAGTCCTTAAAACATAAATCTACCTTTTACTGTCTTGCAAGCCAAGATGTTTTCTTCAATTACTGGTATTATCGAAAATCTCTCTGGAGAGTCCTTGGGATGAAATACTTTGTTACTGACATCATTCCCTGTCTCGGGGCTTGATGACACAATACACAAACATCCTTTATTTGTCTCTCGTCACTTACCGTGTCACCTGACTCAGTAATAAGCTTGTTTGCTCCCATCTCCTGCTTCATCCTGAGCCCCTCTGTGCACCTGGGAGCAGGACCCTGGAGCGTGGCCAGAAGTGTGAAGAGCACCCATTGTACCTTCAGCTGTTGGTGTCTCTTTCTGTGTCAGGTGCAGCTGATTCATCATGACAGATGAAGTTGAAAGATGAGGGTAATTCCTCGGATTAAGGCCTGTCACAACCTCAGCTGTCAGCACCTTACAATGCCACCACGACTGCACTGACTTCCCTCAAAACAGTAGTGCCCTCTAAGAACAGGAGGCAGCAAAAATGAGCAAATGATCAAAGCTTAGATGAGATCAAAATTTGTGAAATCTTCAAGCTTCAATGTAACATCCGTGGCAAGTGAGCAGAAATATCGACAGACTCAGACACTACTGATAGTTGTCACCATCCTATTTGATGTCAAAATTCACCAGGATAAAAGAAACAGCCAATCGGCAGCGAGTTTTAATACTTGTGGAGCTTCTGAGGATGTGACCTTTGTTTAATAGAGCATGTGAAAACACTCTAAGATAATAAATACTTTACCAAGTGTTATTTGTCTAGTGACAGAATGTAAATTTTTTTTTTCCAGTTGTGCAGATTCAAAATCAGGCTTGGAGGACAGACAGGGAAAAAATAAGCAGCATCCTGCAAATGAATTTATCTTCCAAAGTAAATCATACCATATTTTATATCTGTAATACTCTTTTCCCATTGTGTAAGACCCTCAGTCTCCCTGTTATGATTTAATTGGAAGTCCTCTCCCTCTACTTTGGGAACCACAGACTCACAGGTGTCCAGGCTGGAAGAGACCTCTGGGGATCATCAGGTCTAACCTCCTACCTCCTGTTGGAAGAACATAGCTAGATGTCAGTGTGTTTGGCTTATATTCAGGCATCTAAATAGATATGTTCAGATCCTCTTAGCAATTTCCATTAAGTTCACCCCCTCCACTACCAACAACTTTGTTATCTGTAAGAAATAGGACCCTGCTTTTGCGCATCTTGCTTTGCTGTAACACACATTACAGATTCTTAACTCTTTTACTTCAGGCAGCAGCTACTTACTCTGGAGACGAGGTGAGATGAAGTAGTTCCTCAAGGCTCTGCTCATCACTCCCATGTCCTTTCCTGGACAGGTTCTCAGCGTGTAGAACGCTTTCACCTTCCTGCAAAAAGACGGGCTTACCATGTATTAGTGGCCTAATGTTAAGCCTAGACTGCTAAATAGGCAAGGCCTTGAAAAACTTTTGTTTCAGAGTAGCATTTTGGAGATAGCCTGCATCACCTACACTATCATCAAAAATAAGGTAGAGGAGATAAGGCCTACTGTAGTCCACTGCATTCTCCCACACTTTCTCTTGCAGAAGATACTTGCTGGTATTTATGAGGTAAACTTAGCCAAGAGTTCCCCTGGTGATGAGGGAGGTTACTAATTACCTCATTTCCACTTGGAGTGACCTGTTCAAGGGTATATACCATAAAAACAGAGCATTACTGTGGTGGTACTCCTAGCAGTTTTACGAGACAGCACCTATCACCTGCCAAAGCACACTGCAGAAATGTCATAATGCTTACAGAGCTTTAAACGTTTCAGCTCACTATGCCAATGGAATAAACCCCCTAGTTCTTTAATAATGCATAACTAGCCCAAACAGGATTGTTTTCAGAATGTTTCTGATATTTTGCCTAGTGTATTACAAGTGGAACATGTAACACAGCGCTTTGTAACATATGAGGCTTGTGCTCTGAAATATTAGTGGTGTTAGTCACCTCAAGAGCAATTACTCGTCATCCTGCCTCTGTTCCCCCCTCTACAACAGGAACACAGGCCTGCACTTTCAAAGATGCCGTATCGACTGGACAAGAAAATAAGTGCAGTTTTTTCCCTGGGCTCAGTTTATTCACTAGGGTCTGTGCATATGGCACTGTCTGAGAGCAGCTGTTGTACTTCTTGAGCTCCTTAGGGTGCCCTAAGGTGGAACATGTCCTTTCCATTCGATAACAGGATTGCAGTTAACAAAAATTTCTGCTTAGGGCATCGTTGTTGTGCTTCTTTCTGAGAGACCGAGACCTGAAGACTGAAGAAAGATAAAAATTAAAGCCAAATTTCTGGTCATCCTTGGTTTTATTTCTCTAACCCCAAGTTCATTCGATAGGGACGTCTGGTTACTAGAACTATATGATTAAAAAGTCAAAGACTCAGTCCTGTAGAATACAGACAATTATTTTAAAATATTTTTTATTAGGTGACAGTTAAGGATTAGTATGTCTTTCTAGTTTTTTAGTAGTTATAGAAGTTGCTCAGAATCCCTATGGAAGAGTCATGTTGCTTTAGGAACATTTTCTTTAAAATGTTACATCATTAAAACTCTGGGATATTTTCTAGGCTTTGCACAGTATTTTCTAAGGGAAGGCAAGTCTAAAACAGCAGTAGTCATGCTTTCTGCTCAAGAGGTAAAAACACAGCATTGCCTTGACACGACAAAATCACTGTTCAAACCAAATAATGTTCAAAGTAACAGGAAAGGTGGAGTAGTTGGGAGAGTATTACGACCTCAGGATGAACAAGTAGATGAAATGAAGCAGAAAAAAAAAAAAAATCAGGTAGCTGACATTCATCTGTTCTGACATTTTTACACCCAAAAAGCTCTATCATATGAGGCCAAAAGTCCTTCTCCTACCTCCAGTAGCTACTGACCAGGTGTCTGGCAGTATATGGGAAAGATGTAGGGATTACTGTCCAGAACAGTCTCTCAGCAAGTTATGGATCATGTACTTCAAAAAGCCAAGGTGACGTCTTTGAACAGTATCTTGTTCAACCTTTCCAGGCCATGTCTGATTTTGCAGTTTTCTACCCTATTCTCCCAAGTCATGTCTTTCCCAAAGACCTAATCTATTCACTTGTTCTTCATACAAAAGCTCTTCTATAACTTTGGTTAGCCCTATCACCTTTTTCTGCATCTTTTCCACTTTTACTCTGTGTTTTCTAAGCTGGGGGATCAGACCTGAACAGGGTATTTAACATGCAGCTCACCATGGATACAGACCATAATAAAGTCTGGCATTTTGTGCTCTGCTTATTTCTTAACAATTTCTAACACTTTATTTGCTTTTTTTGACTGCAGATGAGCACTTGGCTGACATTTCACAAAACAAAATCCATTAGTACAACCTAACCAGAACCATTGTCTGCGTTTGCGTTCCCAATTTATTCAGTCAAGTTAATCTTGTTAATTTTCTATTTGCTGTGATGGGTGTTTATTTCATAACTGGGTTCTCAGACGCTGGACTATTTAAATATGCATATGAGTTCTTTTAACTGCACTAATACATGCATTAACCCTATGCTTTATTTCCTTTATCTGTGTATTTTACATGCAAAAGAAAATCTTCAGTCCACAACTTTTCAAAAGAAAACCCAATAACCTGGTAACTTTCTTTTCTGTTTTTTCCCCTCTTGTGCTGCACATACTCAAACTTCATCTGTACCTTTAGGAAATTAGATTAATGCGTCTTTGAAAGAAAATAAATCGCGTACAACGATCGCATGAAACAAAGTAGACTGCGCTGCTTCCAGTAAATTCTGTCCTGACCTGACTGGTTTTCAAATTTTTAAATGGAACTGCAGGTGATGCTCTCACACCTCAGAGCCTTGCTATGGTGGCGCACGCCCAGGACCTCATGTGCTGGACGGCACAGGGAGTTTACTCGCTGTAAAGAGGTTAAGCCTGGAAGCCCTTTGCTGATTAGGCTATCGAAAATGGAGGGAACAACACAGCATCTGTTATACCTCAGTACACCCAAAGTTATTGTAGAGAAACTTACAAAAAGTGCGTGATCTCATTTAAATGGAAAAAAAAAATTTGCTTTGGGATTGTTCCCCAAAAAAAACCTTTCAAAGAAAACAATAATGGACTTCTCCATCTTAACCTCCAGATTTTAAATTATAAACATAAGCATACATACATTTGACAGCAAGATTGACCATTTGCAGCAATGTTTTCCTCTTTACTGTTATTTTATGCCATCCAAAACCGCTTAGTATAAAAACACTGCAACAGTTTTGTACAGTTTAGAAATGTTTATGGAAAAAAATACTCATTCCAGAAGATGAAAGATAGAAGTTTTGGAAAAGAATTTGACACAAACAGTATATTTCTATTATGGAGGAAAGAGTCTTCTTAAGTGAATATTACTCTCGCCCTCACATCACAGCCAGTGTTTGGTTTTTACCTTTTGCTATTCACCAGTAACAGAATAGTTTTAAACATTTTACTATTAAATGTCACCATAAGAGCTAAATGTTTTAATATCCAAAATACCATGTTCTTTTCTGACGGTTCAGATGCATCTTGAACTGTGTAAAGGCCAGATGGAAAGTACTCTATACAAATGGACACATTTGCTTTAAGTGCTACATCCAAAACACGCTGAAATAAAGCATAATATGTTTGAATGTCACTGGGCTTGGCATAGCACTTAGGGACCTGGAGGCTTTATGCAACCATCGTCCTACAGGAAAGGCAATCACATTTCACACACTTCAAAAAGACTGGTACTTTTTTCCCAGGTTTTGTGTTTCCCTGTCTCCATGCAGATAATACTAACGAATTCTACCTACCATTAATTTCTAATTGCAAAGAAACCCCTTTGCTAACAAGTCCTGTTCTCACCCAAGCCCCGGTGTTTCAGACGGACGTGTGTGCAGCAGACGGGTCGGCATCCTCCTTTCATTGACTTCAGCGCAAGCCCCCGAATGCGAGTGGTGGCTCATAAATATAGTACTGCAATTTTAAAGGAATAACAAATTTCTTTGAAAACAGCTTCAATCTCTTTCC